GGCGGCCGGTGGCGTGCAGTGCCACCGGGCCGGGTGCCCCTTCGGCCAAGCGTGTGGCCTCAAAGACGGCGTCCGGGGCTGCGTGGAGCAACCGGGTCGCTGCACGTTGGCTCCCGCCTCCCGCTTCCTCTCCTTCGACGGGGCCACCGGCACCGCCACGGCCACCGGCATCTACGTGGTGGCCACCCTGTGCGACCCTCAGCACTCCGCCTGGTTCCGCCTCTTGGCTGATGTGGGGGAGAACCAGGACCAACCAGCTGTGGTAGCCCTTCACCTCTTCAGCTCCCGCGCCTTCGTCACCATCAAGAAGGACAGGAAGGTCTGGGTAGGTCGCCCCCACGTTGCTGCCACCGGCAAAGCCCCCTCCCTGCCTTTAATTGTAACCAAAATCCATGATTTCCCACCATTTTGCAACGCCTCGCCAGCATCGTGCAAACAAAGCACCTGCAGGGGCTGTCCTCCGCCCCACCCTCACGTCCACACATTGGCCCAGCACTTCGTTTTGACCCAAAACCCCCTTTTTTCCGCCAAATTCCGGCAAAAGAAGCACCCGCGTGGGGCGCCTCTCGGCCCGCTGCTGCCTTCGACTCCCCGTGAAGTTGCCCGACCCTCCACTTTGAGTGAAAGGGGCTTTTTTTCCCCCCTGCTTGGAGTCAAGAGAAGCTTGAGCAGGTGCCACCCTTCATCCCAGCGCTGTCGTGAAGATGTCCTCGTATTTGCCCATCCCTTCCTTTGAACCAAAATCGCCCTTTTCCCCCTCAATTCCTTGCAAAGGAGGCGTTCCTGTGTGCTGCTCTTCGTTCCGCCATCGTCCAGAGATATCCACGCCTTCGTTTTGACCAAACCGGGCTTTTTTCCAGCCATTCCGTGCAAGTGAAGCGCCCCCGGGTGTTGTCCTCCATCCCACCATCACCAAGAGAGCTCCGTGCAGCCGCTCACCCCTTTATATTGACCAAAATTGCCCTTTTTTTTTTCTGTAATTTAGTGTAAAGGAAGCACCCGTGGATGCCCTCCTTCACCTTAGCCCCATGGGGGGAGCCCAGGTCCCCATCCCACCTCCCACCCCCCAGGAACAAACCCCACGAGATCACCCCACGCCCCCACGTACCCCTCCCCGTGTCATGCCGTGTCTCCAGACCTAAACCAGAGGGATTTCACCCCGTTTTGAGCTCCACCACTACAGAGAAAGCTGGTGGCGGAGAAATGAGTTGGTTTCCTGGCTTTTTTTCACCCCCATTTTAAATTTCTTTCCAAGCGCGGAGCCATGCTCTCCCTGTCGATGTCTTCTCCAGGTCAATGGCGTCCCAGCTGCCCTCCCCGTGGACTTCTCCGGCGCGTTGACCGTCACCGAGACCCGCGGCACCATTTGGGTCACCCAAAAACCCGAATTCATCGTCGGCCTCAGCCCCGCCGGGGAGGTGACGGTGACGGTGGGCCGGGACCTGAGCAAGCAGCTCTGCGGGCTCTGCGGGAACTACGACGGGAACGCGGCCAACGACCTCCAAGGGCCCGACGGGAAATTGGTGGGCAACGCGGCGGCGCTGGCCAAGGCCTGGAGAGCCATCGACTTCTCCCACGTGAGTGTCCCCAGGAGGTGACAACAGGGGTCTTGTTTTGGGTGAGATTCATCTCTTTTCGTGTCCCAGCTCCGTCATGGCTCCATCCCCGTGGGCTTTGGTGCCACCACCGGGAAGAAACATCCATCCATTGGTCCCATCCCCTCCTATTAACCAAAATTGCGCTCCCCCCCCTCCCCCAATTTCACTCAAAACACCCACATTTGTTGTCTTCATCATCAAGAGATGTCCACGCCTTGAACCGCTCCTTCGTTTTGACCAAACTGGGCTTTTTTCCAACCGTTTCACGCAAGGGAATCACCCACGGGGGTTGTCCTCCCTCCCACCATCATCAAGAGATCTTCAGCCATTCAGCCCCTCCCTTCAGATTAACTAAAATCACCTTTTTTTCCCCACCAATTTAACGCAAGAAAAGCCCCCACGGACGCCACCTTCATCCCACTGTCACTAAGAGTTTTTCACCTATTGTCCCATTTCTTGATTTTAACCAAAATCACCTTTTTTTCCGCCACTGTATCACAAGAGAAGCCCTCCACGGGTGGCATCCTTCATGTTAACCAAAATAGTCCTTTTTCCCCTCAAATCAGGCCCAAAATCACCCGCAAGGAACCGATGGGTTCGTCATTGGATGCTGTCATCATGTGTGGAGAAAGAGGGGGGAAAAAAAACAAAAAAGGGTGGAGGGAAGGTGGGAAAAAGGGGGGGAAAAGCCACAGAGAAGGAAGAAAAGCTGCAAAAAAAGAGGAAAAAGCCACAAAAAAAGGGGGGAAAACCACACCAAAAAAAGGGGAAAAGCTGCAAAAAAGGGGGAAAGGCTGCAAAAAAGGGGGGGAACCCACAAAAAAAGGGGGGAAAACTGCAAAAAATGGGAAAAAATTGCAAATAAATGGGGGAAAGGCACAAATAAGGGGGAAAAGCTACAAAAAAGGGGGAAAAGCTGCAAAAAAGGGGGAAAAGCTGCAAAAAAGGGGGAAAAGTTGCAAAAAAAAAGGGAGATAATCCACAAAAAAAGGGGAGAAAACCACAAAAAAAGGGGGGAAAACTGCAAAAAGGGGGGAAAACCACAAAACAAGGGAAAAGCTGCAAAAAGGGGGGAAACCACAAAACAAGGGGGAAAAGCTGCAAAAAAGGGGGAAAGGCTGCAAAAAAGGGGGAAAGGCTGCAAAAAAAGGGGGAAAACCACAAAAAAAGGGGGAAAAGTTGCAAAAAAGGGAGAAAAACTGCAAAAAAGGGGGAGAACCACAAAAAAAAGGGGAAAAGCTGCAAAAAAGGGGGAGAAACACACAAAAAGGGGGGAAGCTGCAAAAAAGGGGTAGAGGCTGCAAAAAAGGGTGAAAAGTTGCAAAAAAAATGGGGGAAAAGCTGCAAAAAAAATGGAGAAAACCTGTAATAAAAGGGGGAAAACCTGCAAAAAGGGAGGGAAAGGCACAAAAAAGGAGGAAAAGCTGCAAAAGAATGGAGAAATCCACAAAAAAAAAACAGGGAAAAGCTCTCAAAAATGGGATTTGCCCTCAAAATAGGGGGATTAATGTCTTCTTTTCTATTTTTTTTTTTTTTTTTTTTTTTTTTTGGCTCAGTGATGCCGAAAAACGACATTTTAAAGGCCTGGCAATGGGACACCGCTCCTCATCACTGGGGTCATCGTGGCCAACCTGAAGCGTCGATGAAAAAAGGGACATTCCCCCTCCCCGCCCCCCCCCTTCCCCCAGCCCCAAATTTGAGGTTTTTTTACATGTGTGTGTGTGTGTGTGTGTGTGTCCCAAAAAAAAAATAAATTGTTGAAACCCGCACCCAGCCGTCGCTTTGCAACGAAATCAGCGCGATTTGGGGGGAAGCGAAGAGCGTGGGCGAGCGTCACAGGGAAGGGAGGGCCCTGGGGGGGGTGGGGGGGGTCCCGGATGCGTGGGTCCCCCGAGGGGGGGACACGGGGGGGTGTTTCCCGGACGCCTGGGTCCCCTGCCAGCCCTGACGCGCCCCAGGCGGTTCTTGGCCCCCCCTGACCCGTTTCGGTCAATATTTTGCGTCACGGCCCTGTCCCCGTGCCCAGACACGGGTCGGGGGGGGGGGGTGTGGGGGGGTGTGGGTGTGGGGGGGGGGGCACCCGGATGCATGGGTCCCACGGGGGGGGGGGGCGGGGAGCGGGGAGGAGGCTCCCGGATGCCTGGAAGAGGAGGGGCGGGGGGGGAGGTTGTTCTTGGGGTCCCCAGTGTCCCCCAGTCCCTCCCAGTGCATCCCCCCCGCCTCCCTGCTGTGCACCCCCTTCCCAGAGCATCCCATTCCCCCCCCCCCGCGTGCCCCCCACCCCTCCTAAATGTGCCCCCCCACCCCAGCGCATCCCAGTTCACCCCAGTGTATCCCTCCCATCCCTCCCAGTACATCCCTGCTCCTCCTGTGTCCCCATTTCTCCCCACATGTGCCCCCCCCCCCCCAGTGCCTCCCAATCCATCCCAGTGCCACCCAGTGTCGTCACCCCCCTCCTCTTCCCCCCCTCAAGAGCCCACAGTCCACCCCAGTTCCCCCCAGTGACGGTGTGGGCAGAGGCGGAACTGCCCGAGGCCCTGGGAGGTGCCACCTGGGGGGGTCCATCCCCCCCCCCCCCCCCCCCCCCCGCCTGTCCCCAGCCCTGTCCCCTCCCTGGGGATAAAAATGGCTCTGGCCACACCGTGGGCACTGCGCGGCACCATGGGACCCCGGTGAGCACGGGGACACGGGGACACTGGGGACATGGAGGGGGGGGACAGGGGGATATGGGGGGACGTTGAGGGACAGGAGGATATGGGGTGAGGGGGGGGACATTGGGGACATTGAGGGGCATGGGGACATGGGGTGACATTGGGGGACGTGGGGATATGGGGGGGACATGGGGGACATTGAGGGGCATGGGGACATGGAGGACATTTGGGGACATGGGGGACATGAGGATATGGGGGAACATTGAGGGACATGGGGGACATGGGGTGTCATTGGGTGACATGGGGATATGGGTGACATGGGGGGACATTGGGGACATTGAAGGGCATGGGGACATGGAGGACATTGGGGGACATGGGGACATAGGGACATTGGGGGACATGGGGGACATGGGGATATGAGGGACATGGGGGGACATGAGGGACATGGGGATATGGGGACATGGGGGGGACCTTGGGGACATTGAGGGGCATGGGGACATGGAGGACATTGGGGGACATGGGGGACATGAAGATATGGGGGACATGGGGGATATGGGGGATATAGGCCACATGGGGGGACATGGGGACATGGGGGGGACATTGGGGACATTGAAGGACATGGGGACATGGAAGACATTGTGGGAAATGGGGACACAGGGACACGGGGGGACATGGGGACATAGGGACACGGGGGACATGGGGCACATGGGGGACATTAAGGGACATGGGGATATGAGGGACATGTGGGGACATGAGGGACATGGGGATATGGGGACATGGGGGGGACATTGGGGACATTGAGGGACATGGAGACATGGAAGACATTGGGGGACATGGGGATATGGGCAACATGGGGGGACATGGGGGCAACATTGAAGATTTTGAGGGGCATGGGGACATGGAGGACATTGGGGGACATGGGGGACATGAGGATATGGGGGACATGGGGGATATGGGCCACATGGGGGGACATGGGGACATGGGGGGGACATTAGGGACATTGAAGGGCATGGGGACATGGGGTGACATTGGGGGACATGGGGATATGGGGGACATGGGGGACATGAAGACATGGGGGGCATGGGGATATGGGGGGACATGGGGACATGGGGATATGGGGACGGGGGGGACCTTGGGGACTTTGAGGAACATGGGAACATGGAGGACATTGGGGGACATGGGGGACATGAGGATATGGGGGGACATGGAGGGACATGAGGGACATTGAGGGACATGGGGTGACATTGAGGGACATGGAGATATAGGGTGACATTGGGGGACATTGGCATCATTGAGGGATATGGGGGGACACGAGGGACATGAGGGACATTAGGGGACATGGGGATATGGGGGGACATTGAGGGACGTGGGGGACATTAGGGGACATGGGGGACAGTGAGATATGGGGTGCCATTAGGCAGCACAGGGGACATTGAGGGACATGGGGATGGGGGGGACACTGGAGGGCACTGGGGGACATTTGGGGACATGGGGGGACACAGGGCCAAGGGACATGTGAGGACTCGGGGACACGCTTGTGGGGGGGACACAGAGAGGGACGCCCACGGGACGTGTGCGTGGGGACAGGGACACGCAGGGACACGCGGGGAAGGACAGGCAGAGGGACAGACAGGGGGACATGCTCGCAGGGGACACAGGGACAGGGACCCCCATGGAGCCAGGGACACACGTGACACGAGTGGGGACATGGATGGCGGGGATCCAGCTGCATGGGGCGAGAGGGACAGGCAGAGGGACACGTAAGGGACATGTGAGAGTGGGGACAGGGACACGCAGGGGATGTGTGGGCATGGGAACAGGGACACCTGTGGGATCTCTGTGGGGGACAGGGACAGGCGGGGGACAGAGACATGGGGACAGGGACATACAGGGGACATGTATATGGGGACAGGGACAGATATGGGGACAGGGACATCCATGGGGACAGTGACATGAAGAGGACATCTGGTGGGGACAGGGACACACAGGGGACATGTAGGCATGGGGACAAGGACAATCCTGGGGTCAGGGCCATGGGGACAGGGACATGGGGACAGGGACATCCATGGGGACAGGGACAGGCAGGGGACAGGGCCATGGGGACAGGGACAGACAGGGGACAGGGACAGATATGGGGACAGGGACAGGCAGGGGACATCTGGAGGGGGCAGGGACACGCAGGGGACATGGGGGCATAGGGACAAGGACACTCCTGGGGACAGGGACAGGCAGGGGACAGGGCCATGGGGACAGGGACACGGGGACAGGTACAGATATGGGGACAGGGACTGGCAGAGGACAGGGACATGGGGACAGGGACATCTGTGGGGACAGGGACAGGCAGGGGACATCTGGAGGGGGCAGGGACACATGGGGGACATGGGGGCATGGGGACAAGGACACTCCTGGGGACAGGGACACTCATGGGGACAGGGACATGGGGACAGGGACAGGCAGGGGACATGTATATGGGGACAGGGACAGGCATGGGGACAGGGACAGGCAGAGGACAGGGACATGGGGACAGGGACAGATATGGGGACAGGATCATCTATGGGGACAGGGACAGGAAGAGGACATCTGGAGGGGACAGGGACACACAGGGGACATGTGGGCATGGGGACAAGGACACTCATGGGGACAGGGACAGATATGGATACAGGGACTGGCAGGAGACAGGAACATGGGGACAGGGACATCCGTGGGGACAGGGACAGGCAGGGGACATCTGGAGGGGACAGGGACACACGGGGGACATGGGGGCATGGGGACAAGGACACTGCTGGGGACAGGGCCAGGCAGGGGCCAGGGACAGACAGGGGACAGGGCCAGCAATGGGGACACCTGGAGGACACAGGGCCATGGGGACAGGTGTCCATGGGGACAGGGAGGGGTGGAGGGACAGACGGACAGGGGGAGGGAGGGACAGAGGGATGGAAGGGTGAGGGGTGGACGGATGGAGGGAGGGAGGGAGGGGGGAGAGGGGTGGATGGAGGACAGATGGACGGACAGAGGGATGGACGGATGGATGGATGAAGGATGGATGGATGGATGGATGGATGGATGGATGGATGGATGGATGGATGGATGGATGGATGGATGGATGGATGGATGGATGGATGGATGGATGGATGGATGGATGGATGGATGGATGGATGGATGGATGGATGGATGGATGGATGGAGAAACCATCAAGGAAGTTCTTCAATGCTTTCTCCATCCATCCAAGAAGCGTCAATGGATGGATGGAGAAACCAAAGAACTTCTCTGGTGGCCTCCCCACCCACCCGTCCCTGGAGATATGGATGGAGAAACCACTGAAGGTGGAGGGTTGGGTGGAGAAACCGTTGAAGAATGGATGGAGAAAATCATTGAGGAAGGAGAGAGGCGGATGGTTGGGTGGGTGGAAGGAGAAATAGGTGGACAGTTGGGTGGTTGGATCCCCAGAAGAAGGATGGATGATTAGGTGGACAAATCCAGGAGATCTTCAAGGGTTTCTCCATCCATCTGGTCATGGAGATGTGGATGGAGAAAGGTCTGGGGATGGATGGATGGATGGGTGGATGGATGGATGGATGGATGGATGGATGGATGGATGGATGGATGGATGGATGGATGGATGGATGGATGAAGGACGGACAGACAGATGAAGGAGGGCCGAGTGCCCCTTACCCCCACCCCACCCCCTTCCCCCAGGCCTGGGCAGGTGAAGGCTCTGCCCGCGCTCCTCCTCCTCCTCCTCATCCCCACCGGTGACTGGGGACCCCTGGGGACCTGGGGGGCACCCACAAGAGCCTCGGGTGAGTGGGGACACATGGGGGGCACCCATGGAACCCCTGGGTGTGTGGGGACATTGTGGGGATGTGGGGGCACCCACAGGACCACCAGGTGAGTGGGGACCCCTGGGGACATGGGGGGCACCCATGGGACCCCTGGGTGAGTGGGGACATGTGGGGGGCACCCATGGGACCCCCAGTGGAGCAGGGACACCGTGGGAACGTGGCGGGCACCCACGCGAGCCTCAGGTGAGTGGAGACACATGGGGTGCACCCATGGGACCCCTGGGTGAGTGGGGACACCGTGGGAGCATGGGGGGCACCCACAAGAGCCTCGGGTGAGTGGGGACATGTGGGGGGCACCCATGGGACCCCCGGGTGAGTGGGGACACATGGGGGGGCACCCACGGGACATGGAGGTCCTAGATGATCCCATGGGGTCCCAGTCCCATACTGGGGGACATCCCAGGGTGACCCCGAGGGTCTCAGCCCCATAGTGGGAGGTCCTAGTTTGACCCTGGGGGTCCCAGCCCCATAGTGGGGGGTCCCAGGGTGACCCTGGGGGTCCCAGCCCCATAGTGGGGAGTCCCAGGGTGACCCTGGGGCTTCCAGCCCCATACTGGGAGGTTCCCATACCCCTTTTGGGAGGTCCCACACTCATACTGGAAGGTCCCATAGCGACATGGGGGGGGGAGGAATAGTGTCTGGGCCACCATGGGGGTCCCACTCCACGGCGTGGAGGTTCCCCACTCCTCGCTGTGGGTCCCTGATGGGTGCCCCCCACCCCCCCCACCCCAGATGAGCTGCTCTACCCCTTCGGGTCAAGCGCAGGGGACAAGGCCACCCCCCGTGAAGACGACGGGATGAGCCCCAAGATCATCCTCGAGGAGACCTTCTCCTTCTATGGACAACCCCACCACTCCCTCTATGTGGGTCCCAGGGCATGATGGGGCAGGAGGGTGCTGTGGGGCAGGGTGCTCGGGGGGGCCCGGGCTGTGGACACTGTGGGTTGGAGACACCGTGGTTGGGTGACATCACGGGGTTGGAGGTGGCCTGGGCTGGGGACACCATGAATTTGGGCCACTGTGGGTGAAGGCGTCATGGGTTGGACCAGTATGGGTGGAGATTCCCTGGGTGGGGGTCACCAGGGGTTGGGGGTCACCAGGGGTTGGGGGTCACCATGGGTTGAGTGCCACCATGGTTGGAGACCACCATAGTTGGTGAAACCATGGTTGGGGGCCACCAAAGTTGGATGTACCAGGCTTGGGGCTCCATGGGTAGGTGACATCACGGTTGGAGGCCACCATGGTTGGGGGTCAAGATGGTTGGGGCCACCATGGATCAGAGGATCCTGGCTGGGAGCCACCAGTTGGGAGCTGAGATGGTTGGGGGGTCACCGTGATTGGAGATATCACGACTGGGTTTGCCGTGGTTGAAGACACATCCCTGCCGGGGGCCACCCTGCTTGGTGCCACCACAGTTGAAGGCCACCACAGGTGACGGCCGCGCGCCAGGAGCGGGTCACTGTTGGGGGGGGTTCTGGTTGTCTCCTACAGGTCAACAACAACGGGGTGGTGTCGTTTGGGACAGGAGTCCCCGAATTCACCCCCCAGCCCTTCCCGCTGCCCGGCCACCGCCCCTTCGTGGCCCCATACTGGGCTGACGTGGACACCAGACTGGGAGGAGAAGTCTTCTACCGGCAGAGCCGGGAGCCGGAGCTGCTGGCCCGCCTGGCTCGTGACCTTGTCCCCGCGGTGGCCCCCTCTGACCCAGCCCCCCGGCCCACCTGGGCCTTCGTGGCCACCTGGCATCGCGTCTCCTTCTTCGGGGCCGCCTCCGACAAGGTGGGGGACAAAGGGGGTGCTCAACCATCTTTGATCCGCACCCCCTCAGCCTTGGTGGCCTCCAATCGCGGCGTCACCTCCCAAGGGGGCGGGGCACAGGGAATGGTGGTGGTGGGGGGGACATGGGGAGGGGTCACAAGGTGGGATGGGGGGACATGGCGGGGGACACGGGGACAGTGAACGGGGAGGTGGGGTTGGGCCATGTTGTGCGGGACACGAGGAGACGGGGACACGGGGATGGAAAGAGAGAGCTGGGGGCCACAGCAATGGGGGGGGTCGTGGTGACGCGGTGACACGGTGACGCGGTGACACGGTGACATTCCTTCTTCCCCCCTCCCCCCCGCCCCGCCGCAGGTGAACACCTTCCAGGCCGTGTTGGCCACCGATGGGGCCACCTCCTTCGTCATGTTCAACTACGGTGACATCCAATGGACCACGGGCATCTCCAACGCCGGGGATGCCCACACCGGCCTGGGGGGCATCCCGGCCCAGGTGGGTGTTGGGGACACGGGGGACACCCCGGTGTTCCCCCCTGTCCCCGTGGGACAGGGGCCACCTGCCTGGGTGGGAGGAAATCAGAGAATTTAAGATGAATTAAGGGGGTTTGGGGTGGGATTAAGGGGATTTGGGATGGAATTATGGAAATTTAGGACATATTAAGGGGATTCGGGGTGGGATTAAGGAGATTTGAACCTAATTAAGGGGTTTTGGGGTGGGATTAAGGGGATTTAGGCCAAATTAAGTGGCTTTGGGGTGGGATTAGGGGGATTTAGGACATATTAAGGGGATTCGGGGTGGGATTAAGGGGATTTAGGCCACATTAAGGGATTGGTGGGGGATTAAGGGGATTTAGGCCAAATTAAGGGGATTAGGGGGTTTTAGGACATATTAAAGCAAATTGGGGTGGGATTAAGGGGGTTTGAACCAAATTAAGGGGTTTTGGGGTAGGATTAAGGAGATTTAGGACAAATTAAGGGGATTTGGGGTGGGATTAAGGGGATTTTGGCCAAATTAAGGAAATATGGGGTGAAATTAAGGGGATCTGGGCCAAAATAAGGGAATTTGAAGTGGAATTAAATGAATTTGAGGTTAAATTAAGGGGGTTGGACTGATTTTAGAGGGTTGGGGTGGTATTAAGGGGATTTGGGGTGGGATTAAAGGGATTTAGGGCAGAATTATGGAGTTTGGGCAGATTTAGGGGGATTTGGGGTTGTAATTGAGAGGATTTAATCCAAATTAAGGGGGTTTGATGTGAAATTAAAGGGGTTTGGGGTGGAATGAAGGGAATTTGGGGTGAAATCAAGGGGATTTGGGGTGGAATTAAGTGGATTTGGGGTGCAGTTAGGTTATTGGGGCAGAGTTAAGGGGATTTGGGGGGAAATCAAGGGGGTTTGGGGTGTAATGAAGGAGATTTGGGGAGGAATTAGGGGGTTTGGGCAGTGTTAAGCGAATCTGGGTTTAAATTAAGGGGATTTGGGCAGAGTTAATGGTATTTGTGGTGAAATCAAAGGGGTTTGGGGTGAAATCAAGTGGGTTTTGGGTGGAACTAAGGGGGTTTGGGGTGGGATTAAGGGGATTTGGGGTAGAATTAAGGGGATTTGGGGAAGAATTAGGGGATTTGGGCAGTGTTAAGGGAATCTGGGTTTAAATTAAGGGGATTTGGGCAGAGTAAATGGTATTTGTGGTGAAATCAAGGGGGTTTGTGGTGAAATCAAGGGGGTTTGGGGTGAAATCAAGTGGGTTTGGGGTGAAATCAAAGGTGGTTTGGGGTGAAATCAAGGGGGTTTGGGGTGAAATCAAGTGGGTTTGGGGTGAAATCAAAGGTGGCTTGGGGTGTAATGAAGGAGATTTGGGGAGGAATTAGGGGATTTGGGCAGTGTTAAGGGAATCTGGGTTTAAATTAAGGGGATTTGGGCAGAGTAAATGGTATTTGTGGTGAAATCAAGGGGGTTTGGGGTGAAATCAAGCGGGTTTGGGGTGGGATTAAGGGGGTTTGGGGTGGAATTAAGGGGATATGGGGTGGGATTAAGGGGATTTGGGGTAAAATTAAGAGGATTTGGGGAGGAATTAGGGGATTTGGGCAGAATTAAGGGGATTTGGGCAGGAATGAAGGGGATTGGGGCCAAAGTGAAGGGGATTGGGGCAGAACCACGGCTCCTTGGCCCCCGATGGCTCCTGCCCCCACCTCGTCCCCCCTCTGTCACCCCCCCCTCCGTGTCCCCGACCCCCCCCCCCCCTCCTGACCCCCCCGCCTCCAGGCTGGGTTCAACAGCGGGGACGACATCCACTACTACAACATCCCGGGCTCGCGCTCGCCGGCGGTGCTGCGCATCGGCCACAAAAGCAACGTGGGGATCCCGGGGCGCTGGCTCTTCCGCGTGGACGAGTTCACCGTCACCGAGGGACCCCCCAGCCCCTCACTGCCCCCCGACACCCCCCCGCCGCCATCCCCCACCCCACGCACGACCACTGAGGAGAGGGTGTACATCTGCGAGTGGTGAGGGGCTGGCCTGGTCCTCCGGGGAGGGAGGGAGGGGGACAGGGACGACAACACCCGGACACCCATCAGTCGATCCGCTGAGGGTTTGGGGTTGGGGTGGGGCAGCTGGGGGGCACCCGGACGTTTGTGTCCCCTAAATTCCTTCCCTTCCCCCCCTCCCCCGTGCAGAAGGGCACATCACCACGGAGGACATGTTACCACGGAAACACCAATAAAGACACACACACCCCCCCACCCCCCGTCAAGCACAACATCTGTGCATGTGTACACACACACACATGTGAGGGGTGACACGCGTGTCACGTGGCCCCGGCGCCGTGAAGGGGGGACATGGTGGAGGGGGGTGTGTGTGTGGGTGTGTGGGTGGGGAACAGGGAACGGTTGTCAGCGTCACCGTTGCAGCGTGGGGTGTCACCGCCTGGCGCCAACAGGCAGAGACATGCCGGGACACCCCCACACCCCCCCCCCCACACACACACCCCCTCGCACCGGTGTGCCATGGGCACGCACGGTTAACACCCGCTCTGCCAACTTCCTACACCCGGTGAACACCCAGCTCCTACGCTGTGCTACATTGGGAGGACACCCGGCTCGGGTGCCGCTGCGCCGCCGCACCAGACGACACCTGGCGAAGCGCCAGCTGGCACCCTGAGGGCATCGCGTTACACCCGCGCAACACCCGGCGGGTGCTACACCCGGAGATCACCGTGGTACAGTGGTAATACCCAGCACCCAGCCCCTGCTACACCCAGAGAACACCCAGAACCCACCCTTGGGCTACACCCGGAGAACACCAGCACCCACCCATGGGCTACACCTGGTTGGTGTCTGGCACCCACCCTGTGCTATGGTGGTTACACCCGGCCCCCACCCTGTGCTATAGCCAGAGAACACCCGGCACCCACCCCTGGGCTACACCCTGTCGGTGCTTGGCACCCGCACTCCACTACAGCAGTTACACCCAGCACCCACCCCCTGCTACACCCAGCTGCTGCCTGTCACCCGCACCGTGCTACAGCGCTTACACCCAGCCCCCAGCCCCTGCTACACCTGGAGAACACTCAGCACCCACCCCTGGGCTACACCCGGCTGCTGCCTGGCACCTGCACTGCGCTACAGTGCTTACACCCAGCACCCACCCCTGGGCTACACCTGGAGAACACCCAGCACCCACCCCTGGGCTACACCTGGTTTGTGTCTGGCACCAACCCCATGCTATGGTAGTTACACCCGGCCCCCACGTTGTGCTATAGCCAGAGAACACCCGGCACCCACCCCTGGGCTACACCCAGCTGCTGCCTGGCACCCGAGCTACCCTACAGCGCTTACACCCAGCACCCACCCTGTTCTACACCCAGAGAACACTCGGCACCCACCCCTGGGCTACACCCGGCTGCTGCCTGGCACCCGCACCATCCGACGGCGGTTACACCCGACCCCACCCCCTGCTCCACTCGGCCCCCACCCCAGGAACTCCCCGTGGCCGTGGGGGGTGGACGCCTGAGTCCTGGGGGGGGGGGTGTGTGTGTGGTGTGTCACACAGATGCATGGGGGGGTTGGGCTGTAGTGGGGTTGCCAGGGGTGGTGGCAACACCCCGACGCTTGGGAAAAGCGTCACCCGCCCTGAGAGGGGACGTAAGGGTGACACCCCCCCCAGCCCACCCCACCCCACTCTGAGAACATCCTCAGTGGGTCCCTTGGGGGGCGACAGGGTCGGGCGTGGGTGGGGGGGGGGGGCACCCACGGGGGATGCTGGGGGTGGGGTGACACCGTCCCCACCCTGGGAACAGCCTCAATGGGTCCCTTGTGAGGGGGATGGGGGGGGTCAGTGGGGTCAGGCGTGGGCGGGGGGGGGGCGGAAGGGGGGGCCCCCACGGGGGACGCAGGCGTCCGGGTGTGCGTGGGAGAACAAGGCCCCATTGAACCGGTCCAAGAGGCCCCAGGCGCACGGGTGGGGGAGGGGAAAGAGGCGGGTGGGGAGGGGTGGGGGAGGGGAGGACACAACCCCCATTGAACACCCACCGCCCCTGGGGAGCACCCACGGGGGGTGGGTGGCCCCTGTGGCCCCGCCCACGGCGAGGTGATGACCTCCCCCCCCCTCAGGTGTAGCCCCGCCCCCTCCTAGGTGTGGTTGTTGTTCCCCCCCACCCCAAAAAAATTCCTGGTTTGCTCATTGTTGACGTGGGAAGGTGAGTGGGGGCACCCCGCACGCGTGGGGGGGTCCCTTGGGTGGGTGGGGGGGTCCCCCAAGTTGGGGGGAGGTTCCTCGGGTGCCTGGGTGCCCTGAGTGGGGGTTCCCTGGGTGGGGGGTCCCTTGGGTGGGGGGTCCCGCGGATGCCTGGCTCCCCGCTGAGTGGGGGGTCCCACGGGTGGGAGGTCCTCTGGGTGGCGGGGTGCCCTGAGTGGGGGGGTTCCCTGGGGTGCGAGGGGTCCCCCAGACTCCTGAGTCCCCTGAGTGGGGGGTCCCATGGGTGGGGAGTTCCCACAGACTCCTGAATCCCCTGAGTGGGGAGTCCCACGGGTGGGGGCGTGTTTCCTGGATTCCTGGGTCCCCCGGTTGGGGGGGGTCCCCTAAATGGGTGGGTCCCTGAGTGGGAGGGGGGTTTCCCCGCGTGGGGGGTCCCCCAGATGGGGGGCTCTTTGAATACTTGGGTGCCCTGAGTGGGGGGAGGGGTTCCCCCGCGTGGGGGTGGTGGTGGGGGGTCCCTCCTTGCGTGGGGCCGGGCCCTTGAACTGCGTAAGGGGGGGGGGGGGACCCCCATGTCGTCTGTCCCGTCCCCACCCCCCATACCCCCCCCAAAAGGGCCCTCCCAGTAACGCCCCACTCAGGAATCTGCTGTGACTCACCCGCCCCTCCCCCACCCGGACGCCCGGGTCCACTGGGAGCGTGGGGGGAGGGGGGGGGGGGGGGCACACCCCCTCCCCCACTCTCACCACCCCACCCCCATCCCCCCCCCCCACTCCTGGGTCCTCGAGGATTGACGTGTGTGTCCCCCCTCCCAGGGGTCAAAGGTCACAAGATGGTGGGGGGCGCCCTGAGGGTTCTGGTGTTGCTGGCAGTACGGGGGGGGGGGGGGGGGGGATTTGGGGGGACTTGGGGAGAACTGGGGGAACTGGAGGGAACTGGGAGGAATTGGGGGGGAATTGGGGGGATTTTGGGGGAACTGGGAGCAATTGGGGAGGACTGGGAGGGAACTGGGGGGATTGGGGGAGAACTGGGGGGAATTGGGAGCAATTGGGGAGGAACTGGGGGGGGAATTGGGGGGATTTGGGGGAGAACTGGGGGAAACTGGGAGGGAATTGGGGGGAATTGGGGGGATTTGGGGAGAACTGAGGGAACTGGAGGGAATTGGGGGGGAATTGGGGGATTTGGGGGAACTGGGAGTAAGTGGGAGGGACTGGGAGGGAACTGGGGGAGAACTGGGGGAATTGGGGGATTTGGGGAGGAACTGGGGGGGAATTGGGAGAGAACTGGGGGGGAAATTGGGGGATTTGGGGAGAACTGGGGGAACTGGGAGGGAATTGGGGGGGAATTGGGGGATTTG